CTGACCACAAAAGAGTCACATGTCTTTGGCCTGGCCAATCACAGCCCTCCATCTCCTGGCCCAATGATAAGCCTGTAGCCCATGCTGGGCCAACCCCAGCCCTGCCCAGGCTGTTACGATGCAGCCCCCTGAGGCTGCAACACTGAGACAGTGCCAGGCAGACAGGGTGTGTGAGCTCACCTCCGCCCCCATCTGTCTGCAGTAGGAGGGACTGAAGCTGACTTAGAGACGTGGGAGCTGCGGGATAGAGAGGCCGCTACAGGGTCAGGGAAAGGCAGTGACGCCAGGCACCAGGCGAGGGGCAAGGGACAGCCGGGAGCAGGGGGCTTTTCCCTGGAGGAGGCGACGGGCGAGGGGAGTGCTCTAGCGACAGCAGGGGCCCATCCCGTGACCCTCATCATCCTGGGAAAGTTGGAGCGAGGAAAGGAGGGTCAGTCCAGGGAGGACAAGGGACCAGGCCTGAGACCTCTGTCCTCCTATTACCCCCCTGCCCCCCACATCCTGAGATTCCTGCCCTGCCTCTCCCAGACCTCTCTGCTCATGGGGGCTGTCCTGCAGGTAACCCTGTGTTTTCACAGCTACAGTGGAGTCCTGTTGCCCACTGCTCAGCAACAGGGAATCCCAAGAGCCTCAGGGTCCAGCCCAGGGCCCTGCTGCCAGATCGGATCATCTCCTCCAGGGGGAGCTGGTGCAGGTCCCTAGGCATGACCCACCACAGGCAAAGCTGCACCTGCTGGGTTCAGCCTCTGGTGGCTTGAAGCCGTCCTGTCCTGGAGGTAGTGGGATTTGGAGCTCATTTTGCCCAGCTCTGGGTATGAGAACAGGAAATGCCAACTAAATATGGAGAGAAGCTGAGTGGGAGGCTGCCACCTCTCCCTTCCCAGGCCAGCCCCTGGCTCCACTGCTTGCTCCATCCAGGAGCAGCCGCTCTTAGCTTTGGTGGACAAGATCACCGTACCCCCGTCTCCCTCAAGCATGAACTTCCTGCCTTGGCTTAGGTGGCTGGGGGATGAGGGTAGCCCCTGAAGAAGTCATCCCCACCACTCTGGACCAGTCTGCTGCTCCGCGGATGAAAGCACCCTGGGAAGTGAGGCGTTTGCTATCCCCAGACACCGGGCAATCCCTGGGCTTCCAGAGATGAGGGCCCAGGGCAGTGCCACCTTGTTCAGAATGGCTGTTTGGAAAGCAGAGGCTGGGAGCCCGAGGAGGACCACCTAGGAGGCGAGAGGAAGGGCCCAGGACCCTGGGAGGGCATCTGGGCAGGGGTGGCCTCTGGATGAGTGGATGAGCTCACAGGGAGCACGATGGGGAGGACAGGCAGGGCCAGGGGGGTGTGGACTCTGCCGCCCAGGCCCAGGCTGGCTGGGGCTGCAGGTTCTCTGGGCGTCTGGGGCAGTGGTTGCGCCCCGACGTGGATGCCTGCATTTCATATTGGAGTGCTTAGGTTGAGACCTGGCTCCTCCACTTGTTTATTTATTTATTTTTTTGAAAAGCAGAGTGGACAGTGAGAGAGAGAAACAGAGAGAAAGGTCTTCCTTTGCCGTTGGTTCACCCTCCAATGGCCGGCGCACCACGCTGATCTGCAGGCAGGAGCCAGGTGCTCCTTCTGGTCTCCCATGGGGTGCAGGGCCCAAGCACCTGGGCCATCCTCCACTGCACTCCCGGGCCACAGCAGAGAGCTGGCCTGGAAGAGGGGCAACCGGGACAGAATCCGGTGCCCCGACCGGGACTAGAACCCGGTATGCCGGCGCCGCCAAGGCGGAGGATTAGCCTACTGAGCCGTGGCGCTGGCTCCTCCACTTCTTATCCAGCTTCTCGCCAACACATTGGGAGGCAGCAGGTGATGGCCCAAGTGCTTGAGTCCCTGCCATTCACAGCTCCTGGCTTGGGACAGGTCAGAGAACCTTACCAGAGTGTGCTATCCACCATTATAAACTGGAAAGGTACAGCGCCACCCAGCAGTCCTTTTACTTAGTGCAATGTCTTTATTGTGATACATTTTAAAATCCTGATAGCAGCTTCCAGAGGATCCTTTTCTGCTGTCAGTCTCCTTATCCTACCCTGTTGAGATCTTAAAATTAGATATATTTTTTAAGAGATTTATTTATTTGAAAGGCAGAGCTATAAAGTCCTGGCTGCACCACTTCCGATCCAGCTCTCTGCTATGGCCTGGGAAAGCAGCAGAGGTCCCAAGGACTTGGGACCTTGCACCCTCGTGGGAGACCCGGAAGAAGCTCTGGGCTCCTGGCTCCTGGCTTTGGATTGGCTCAGCTCCGGCTGTTGCAGCCATTTGGGGAATGAACCAGTGGATGGAAGAGACCTCTCTCTTTTAAAAAAATAAACTTTATTTATTTATTTGAAAGTCAGAATTACACAGAGAGAGAAGGAAAGGCAGAGAGAGGTCTTCCATCTGCTGGTTCACTCCCCAATTAGCTGCAACAGCTGAAACTGCACCGACTTGAAGGCAGGAGCCAAGAGCATTCTCTGGGTCTTCCCATGTGGGTGCAGGGGCCCAAGGACTTGGGCCATCTTCTACTACTTTCCCAGGCCATAGTAGAGAGCTGGTTCGGAAGTGGGGCAGCCGGCTCTTGAACCGGTGCACGTATGGGATGCCGGCATTGAAGGTTTTACCTGCCACACCACAGTGCCGGCCCTCTCTTTCTCTACCTTTCTCTGTAACTCTTTCAAATAAATAAAATAAATCTTAAAAAAGCCCTGACTGTTGTAGGCACTTGGGGAGAAAACCAACAGATAGAAATCTCTCTCTCTCGTTTGCTTTCAAATAAAATGGAAGTAAATAAATAAAAAGTATGTGAAATGTGTGGGCATACAAAACATTTGTGGAAAGTGAAATTAAAAGATGTTTATTTTGGTGCAAAGACATTTTGAAATCCATGCACTGTTTTTTCAAAATACACATTTCCATGAGCTTTTTGAATAACTCATATATATATACATATACATATATATTATATTTATATACGGATTTCAAATTTCTTGCACCAAAATAAGCTTATCTTTTAATTCCATTTCCCATGAACTTCTTAAAAAATGTATTTATTTGAAAGGCACAGTTAGAGAGAGAGAGAGGGAGAGAGAGACAGAGAGGGAGATCTTCTATTTGCTGTTTCACTTCCCAAATGGCTGCAACGGCCAGAGCTGAGGCGATCCAAAGCCAGGAGCCAGGAGCTTCTTCTGGGTCTCCCACGTGGGTGCAGGGGCCTAAGCACTTGGGCCATCCTCTATTGCTTTCCCAGGCCATAGCAGAGAGCTGGTTTGGAGGAGCAGCAGCAGGACACGAACTTGCCCATATGGGATGCCGGCACTGCAGATGGCAGTTCGGCAGTTTTACCCGCTATGCCACAGTGCCAGCCCTCCGTGAACGTCCTGAAGTCCCCTAGTGTGTGTACGCAGGTATGTGTGTGAGTGTACGTGGTGGCTTGTGCATCCTACAAGGAGAATGTGTGTGTGTACGTGTGAGTATGTATGAGTGGGCACATGTGTATGTGTATATGTGTATATGGGTTTGTGTGTGTGTGTGTGTTTGTGTTTGGAGGCTGGCTAAATCCTTCCCCTGTCCTCCCCCACCCCTCAGCCTCTCGGGTTTCAGCCGATGTCCTAAAGAAAACAGCACAGCAGGAAATCACTGTTTGGACTGCACAGGGCCTCTTCCTGCCTAGGCTGTGGGTGAGAGAGCACCAGGGGGGCTTCCTGCCCACCTGAACCAGACGTCCAGTTGGTCAGGACCCTCCTTCCCACCCCAACACCCCTACCCTGGTCCTGCCCCAGCTAGCATCCCTCAGATCCTGGGCAGAAGGGAGACCGTCCCCCCCGGGGGGCCATCAGCTCCCAGCCCTGGGGAACCCACACGTGGAGGCTGGCACCCCTGCCCCAGCTGACCGGGCAGTCCTGCCCATGTCACAGACGCATGCACGCTCAGGAATCCTCTGCTGCTGCGGCTCATTCACGCAGAAGGGTTTGTTCACTCAGCCCTGCCGGCAGCAGAGAGCTGGGGAAGGGACTGAGGTCAGAGCGGGAACACAGGGGCCGGCCTGGCAGCCAGCTCTGCAGGCCGCTCTGCCACGTGGCGCAAGGAAGCTGGCCGCCCCGTGCAGGTGATAGAGACGGGGTGCCGGACTCCTGTGCAGGGGCCTCGGTTTTGGGAAAAGGAAACCATGGGCATGCAAGTGCTGGAACGTGTGAGGATTAGACCCGTCAGCCTCTTGCACCTTGGATGTGCAATGGCTAAAGAGAAAATTGCAAACCAAGGACACAAATGAATGTACACCGGGGGCCTAGGGATGGAGTCCACGTGCGCTTCTGCGCAGCCTGACCACGTGACCCTGTGTGCAGTTCCCCGTGTGGTCCTACAGGAAGCAGGCCGAGAGAGTGGTGTGTGCAACGGGGCACACTTCTCCAGGCAGCACCTGAGCCCAGCTCCAAGGCCGGGGGCTGCTCCTCCAAGTGGCTTCTCAGGGCAGCTTGGATCACACTCGGCCCCTTTTCTGTTCCCCTGCCTTCCGTCCAGCACCTTCTCTGGGGCACTGCAGCCTTTATTTCTGGAATATTCCTGTGCTCCCGCTTTTCCTGGCCTTCCTCAGGACACTCCAAGTCCCCCTTACCAGGGGATGTACCCCCAGGTCCAGCTGCCATGCCCCATCAGGGTGCACACTGGCTCTCAGGCCTGCTGTCACTGGTCAGTCCCTCCCCTCTGTACCCCAAGGGTGCAGGGTAGATGGCTTCTGGGGCTCCAGCAGTCTCAACGCACTCTCTTTCTCAGCCCCCTCACAACCAGGGTTTGACTGAGCCTAGGTGTATGGCCTCTATGCAGGCCACAGCTCGCCCTCCACCGAAGCCCAGTGCAATTTCAGGCTGTGCCAGGCCAGGGTGAACCTGCTGTGGGGGGTTCCCTCTGCTGCTGACACAGGAAGACAGGACCCCTGCCTTGGGCCACTTCAAAGGCAAGGGCCTGGGGAAAGCTGGAGCCAGCAGGAGATTAATTAATCGAAACCTGAGCACATCTGTTGTTAATTAATTCCAAGCCAGGGTTAACTCTTCGCTCTCTGGGCTCCCCTCCCTTTGGTGGAACAAGAGTGTCCGGGAGCAGGTACCCTGTACCTTCCCTTGGGGAGAGCAGACTGGGCAGAGCAGGGCGGTGCTGCTCTCTGGGGTAGGGAAAGCTGCAGAAGGGACCCCAGTGGGAGGTCTTGGCTCTTGGGGTGCCCTTCGGGAGTGTCTGCTCTGAGAGAGAGGGGTGGTCCCTGATGATTTCCCGTGACTCCTGGAGGAATCTGAGATGACAATCTTTATTTACAGACCCTCCCACTCCCCCCTCCCCCTTCCAGTCATTCCCCTAGTGTCCCCCCTCCCGCCCCAGCCCAGCCCAGCCCAGCCTGTGCCCAGCCCTGGCCTCTGCTCACTGCATGGGCTAGGCCCCTGCAGGAGCCCAGGAGAGGAGGCGGGGAGGGCCCTTTCTGAGGGCTGGGTGGGTGGGTGTCTCTTCACATTTTGCTCTCCTCCAAGCCTGGGGCAGCAGCCGGGAGCCGGGGAGCAGTAGAGACGGTGCACACCTCTCCGCTTCTCGGCGCCCCCTAACTTTCACAGTGTTCTGCAGCCCTGGCGGCTGGTCCCAGATCGTCACACCCCCTCCCACCCACCCCACCAGGTCCTTCTGGCCCTGGTGACCCGGCCAGGCTGCTGGGCTTCTCTGCTGTGTGGGCCGGGCCTCTCGGAGCACTTCCCCACCCCCACCCCCCACCGTTCTCACCGGGACTGGGGTCCTGCGCGGGGGCCCTGGGTGGGTGGGTGGGTGGGAGGGGAAGCGGGCGTGGGGAGGTGGCTGCTGGAGCTTGTGCGGGTCAGGAGGAGAAGCAGAGCCCGCAGCACTCCATGCAGATCTCCAGGCAGTCGGCGGACTCGCAGCAGGCGTCCAGGATGCCGCAGTCCAGGTCGCAGGGCAGGTCGCAGTCGGCGCACTCCCCGGAGCCGCAGCAGCAGCAGCAGAGGCACGAGTCCTCGGAGCTGCAGGAGCCGCACGTGGCGCAGTCCAGGACAATGTTGCACAGCGTCAGGAACTCGCAGAACAGGCAGGACAGGATGCAGTGGACGCAGCAGTCTGCAGCCGGGCAGGTGGAGGGCACAGGGTGACACAGGCGCGTGGGAGACCGGCGACAGCAGCCACACGCGGGCGCGGAGCGCCCACGGTGCGTCCCTCCTGCCTGCCAGGTGCTCGCCACTCACTGGGCACAAGCAACTGCCCACGGCTCCACGGAGCCACCTCCCTGCTTATTTACGTAGCAATCACGGGAGGGATGGTGTGTGGTGTGTTCCAGGCACCGTTCCCAGCGCTGGGCAAGAGCTGACCTCGCTGAAACTCTGGGAGGTGGGGGCTATGATCAGCCTCACCCCCCAGGTGAAGAAAAGGAGGCAGCAGAAATCACTTAAAAGCACGAGGGGTCTTCCAAAAGTTCGTGGGAAACGCACGTGTGAAAAAACTACTCGTGCGTGTTTTTTGCATCCACAGAAACCCATCCTGTAATTTCCCCTGGAACCTCCCGAAGGCCCCTCATGCACCGGGAACCCTTCCACTCTGCTCGGCTGGCCTGCGCGCGGGGCCACCGCAGCAGCCTCCCGGGCGCCCGTTCCCTGCCCCGACACAGCGGCCAGCGGGCTCCTTCAGCACCGACCCTCGGCTGCTGCCCCTCTTCTGTCCAGGCCCCTCCCCCGGCCCCACTGCCCTGGGAGGAGAAGCCGGGCCCTCAGTGTCTTCCCCACGGCGCTCCCCCGCCCCCTGGCCCCACAGGCCCCTCTCCCACTGGAACTCATCTCACCGCAGATCTGCGCGGTCAGCTCACACCCTTCCCCCTTCTTGGTCCAAATGTCACTCTCAAGGAGGTCTCCCTCAGCCCCCATTCAGTGCAGCAAGCCCCTCCCCACCCCAGCGCCCCCATGCCCACGTGGGAGACCTGGATGAAATTCAAGGCTCCTGGCTTCAGCTGGGCCCAGCCCCAGCCCCAGCTGTTGCGGCTGCTGGGAGAGTGAACCAGCAAATGGAAGATGGATTCTCTCTTTCCCTCTCGATGTCTCTCCCTCTCTGTAACTCTGCCTTTCAAGTGAACAAATCTTTTTTAAAAAATTGGTAATGCACGAATGTGTGAACCCGCCCTTGGGCTCCCAGCTGAGCAGTGGTGGGAGCCCGTCTCAGGAGGCTGGCTGCAGAACCCACGCTCTGGACCCCTCGGGGTGCTGCTGGGTGCTGAGCAACCATCCTGGGCCAGGCCACAGGACATAGCAAGGCTGCCCGCCCTCAGTCTGCAGTGGAGGTCTGACCCTGTCTTCCTGTATGACAAGGTCTTGCACTTTCAGATGTGAAAATAATGGGGTTGCCACCTTGTTTCAAAGCCTTCACTGGGGGCCAGTGCTGTGGCATAGCGGGTAAAGCCACCACTTGCAGTGCCGGCATCCCATATGGGAGCTGGTTCGAGTCCCGGCTGCTCCACTTCCGATCCAACTCTCTGCTATGGCCTGGGAAAGCAGTAGAAGATGGTCCAAGTCCTTGGGCCCCTGCAGCTATGTGGGAGACCCAGAAGAAGCTCCTGGCTCCTGGCTTTGGTCTGGCCGTTGCAGCCATCTGGGGAGTGAACCAGCGGGTGGAAGACCTCTCTCTCCCTCTCTCTGTAACTCTGCCTTTCAAATAAACAAATAAATCTTAAAACAAAAACAGGCCAGTGCCGCGGCTCACTAGGCTAATCCTCTGCCTTGTGACGCCGGCACACCGGGTTCTAGTCCCGGTCGGGGCACCGGATTCTGTCCCGGTTGCCCCTCTTCCAGGCCAGCTCTCTGCTGTGGCCCGGGAGTGCAGTGGAGGATGGCCCAAGTGCTTGGGCCCTGCACCCGCATGGGACACCAGGAGAAGCACCTGGCTCCTGCCATCAGATCAAGTGCGGTGCGCTGGCCACCCATTGGAGGGTGAACCAACGGCAAAGGAAGACCTTTCTCTCTGTTTCTCTCTCTCACTGTCCACTCTGCCTGTCAAAAACCAAAAAACAAAAAAACAAAACAAACAAAAACAAAAACTCTCCAGAGACTGGGAGGCCTGCCAGCCTGCGTCTCTAACTACAACCCAGCCGAGATGCCAGCCCGGCGCGTGGACCGCACTTTGAGAAGCTCAGCTGTGGGGTGGGGGGCTTACCTTCCTGTGCCTGGAGGGGGATCTGGGAGGCGGCCGGTCTGCTGCTGCCCTTGCTCTTCTTGCTGCCCTGGCTGGCCAGAGATGGGTGCGTCTGCAACTTCCGATGGGTCTTGGGGCCACCCAGGGCACCATTCCCCGCCCGCCTAGCGCCGCCCAGCTCCGAGGAGTGGCCAGAGCCATTAGGCAGTAGTGGGGTGCAGCCCAAGGGGTTCCCCTGAGGCTGGCCTGGAGAGATGAAAGAAAGGGTGATGTGTTCTATTCTTAGATGCACCACGGGGCACCCGGTTAGATGTATCTTCTGCAGACAGGGAAACTGAGGCTCAGGGGGCAGAACTGGCTATCCCAGAACCACACTGTGGAAGAGCTGCAGAGTTCAGCCTGGCCAGTCCTGTGCTCATTCCAGAAAAGGGAGGTGCACAGCAGGGGCGGGGGGCTCAGGGCCTCGGCCCCCACCGTCTCACCCCACACGAAACCTACTTTCCTGCCGTGAGGTCCTGGACGCTGACAAGAGCAGCAGCGGCCGTCCGGCTGAGCTGGGGCAGGCAGCGCCGAAGCAGTTAACCTCGCCCCGGCCTCTGCCAAGCCCCCAGCTGTTTTTGCCCTTGCTGTGCTGGGTGATTTATTGGAAACATCTGTTTGGAGATGCACGCCTGGCCCTGGAATCCAGGGGCTCCGCACAGCAGCCCCTCGAGCTCCTGCTGCCGCCTCCTGAACCCTCCCTCCTGTTCTCTCGCTGCAGGGCCTTGAGGTCTGGGCGAGGAGGGAGTGATGGGAAGAGGGGGGCTGGCGGGGAGACTCCGGGGGGCCAGGAGCCCCCGTGGCCTGAGCTTCAACTCGAGCACCAGGGTGCAAGGAGGCTGACCCTGGAGAGCCCGCCCCACGCCCGATGCTTCCCACACCTCGGCTGGGTCCCGAGAGACAGCGCAGGCGTGTGGGAGGCGGCTGGTGGTGAGAGTGCCACAGAGCTCTTCTTGGCCCCATTGTACAGATGACAAAACTGAGGCCCAGGAAGGGTAAAACTTGCCAAAGGTCTCCCAGCTAGGAAGGGGTGGAGGGGGACCGTGGACATGGGAGAAAGGAGAGGAGGACAGGATGGAGTCTGGGTCCCTGAGATGCTCCGTGCCGGCAGCCTCTGGCAGCAGGTGTGGCTGAGGCCAGCATCCTTGTAAACAGGGCAAGGCCATGGGAAGTGGCCAGGCCTGAGTCATCCTGGCCACATGGAGGGGGTCGGGCAGAGTCCTTGGCCAGCTCCGGTGCCCCTTGCCCTGCTCCCTAACCACGGGCACAGTGGCCAGAGCGGGCGGGAGTGCGTGGTGGGCTGAGGGCCCTGGGAGGCTCAGGCAGACAGACAGAGCTTGCCTGTGGCCTTGGCCATGGGGGTGGGGGTGGGAGCTGAGTCACAGAGCAAACACTCGGGGCCCAGAGACACAGGAGTGTCTGTCCCATTCCCAGCCAGGCCTCCTCCTCCATGGCCACTGCATTGACCTCTTTCTCTCAATTCTGCTGGTGGGTGTGTCTGCAAGAGGCCAAGGGCAGCGTGCTAGCAGGATTTAGTAACCCTCGACTTCCAGGGAGTCCAGCTTAGCCCCAGATGCCCTGGCCAAGGCGGCTCCCTGCTCAGCTGTGCCAGCTGGGCAGGCAGGCACAGGAAGGAGCACCAGACTGGCAGCCCTGAGTTCTCCAGTGTGTGACCAGGGCGAGCTGCTTTCTCTGTGCCTCAGTGTGCTCATCTGTGAAATGGGCTTGGCCATGGCTGTTCTGCTGCCTGGCTGCAGGCTGATTTAGAGAGCAATGAGCTCATCCAGGGAAAGTAAAGATGTGTCTATAGCTATTATGCCATGATCCAGGCTGCTTCTTCCCTTTCTCCTAAGGGGAAAGGTGGACCATGCACTCTCTCCTAGGACTTCCCGGATACCTGGAAGGCTTGGAAAATGGAGCTGAATTGTGCTTTCTCTCCGGTGAAAGTGTGGGCTCCTCTCCTTCCTTGTTACCTGGGAGCCCTGGAAAGATGGGGCTGCAGAGGGCTCCCTGCACCCCTCCCCAGGACCCCCAGCTCTCCCTCAAGGCACAGGGGCTCTCTCCCCAGAGCCTCGTGCTTTGATCTGAGCCACGGTGCCTGGAGCCTGTCACTCCTCACTGACGCCAGCAAGCGCAGTGACAGCGCTGTGCATCTTTCCACTGCTCCCGCTGCCACCCTCACGGGGCAGGCCAGGTCGGGGGCAACTGTTGTACTTTGCCAGCCCATCTGAGTTGGGCAATCCCTGCGCATTGCCACCCCAGTCCCTTCCACCCAGGACTCACATGTCACAGCTTCTGTGGGGACATCGAGGTCAGTGCTGTCCAGGGCCGGAGGGTCCCCAGGGCCATTGTCTTGGGGCATAGGGGGTGCTGCCTCCTCCAGGGACCCCTCCTCTGGCGCTGCCTCCACCGGGTGAGCAGATCCTGTTACTACCTCCAGCCCAGGCAGGAGGGACAGCGTCTGGGCTAGGGAGAAAGCAGACGACTGAGGCACATTTCCCAGTGTCCCCCCATTTGCCTAGCCCCATCCCAGCATGCCCAGCAAACCCAGCGGGCTCTTTGTATCAGGAATCCAGCCCTTAACCTGTCTGGCCGCAGTGTCAGACTTCAAAAGGCCACAACCTGCCAAGGAGCAGGTGTGTGTGTGCGCGCATAGCTGTGTGTGCGGTGTTAGGGAAGAAGCAGGGACGAAGGGAAGTGAGGAGAGCAGGCAGGAGCACTGCAGGAGAGAACAGACGGTGGTCAGTGATGACGAGATAGAGACAGGCCCCGAGAGGGATGGGGAGAGTTAGAAACGAGGGAGATAGAGCACGGAAAGGCAGGAGATTGGGCACGGAAGGCGAGAGCCACGGAGATCCTGTGACAGCCAGCCTGGGACACAGGCAGACTCAGCAACAGGGTGACCGCCGCCAGTGATGCACAGACAGACAGGGCAGGGTGGAGGCAGAGACAGGGAAGCGAGCGCGATGCGGAAAGCACAGGGAGATAGACAGCGAGGAACTGGGTCAGAGCGAGAGGGCGACGGCCAGAGGCGCAGTCAGAGGGACCTGCCGGGAGGAGCAGGGAGGCGCCCCGGGCAGGCAGACAGACAAGGAGCTGGCCCAGCAGGGCCGGGGAGAGGCAAACCGCAGCCTCATGTAATTACAGGGGCTGTGCCCATGGTGGGCGGGAGGCAGAAATGGAGCCACCTTCAAACCCACAACTCCCAGGGCAGCAGCACCAGGGCCCCTGGGTCCAGGAGTAGGCGCTGGGGGGCAGGGGGGCGGAAGGGGCCTGAGCTCCCACACCCGCAGCCACTGGGCACGGGAAGGCCTGGGAGTGCAGCCAGGGGTCACGGGCCAGGGCCCAGGCTGTGGCCATTGCAGGCTGCAGGGAAGGAGGCTCGGCTCGGGGCTTGGGTCCCCAGGTCCAGCTCTGCACCATGACCCCCTACATGCGTGCTACCATGGCTGCAGCCCTGACTGAGGGTCCCGCCACTCCCACCTGGTGCAGCGGGAGAGACCTGAGGGATGAGTCTCAAGAACCAAGCCCTGGTTTTACCAGCTGCTGGCTCGGGGCTCAAGGGGGATTCCAAGGCCTATTCCTGGGGCTCCAGAGAGCAAAGAAAGTGCCAGCACTGTCCTGGCATGCAGGGGCCAGTTTCTGACCCATCCCCACTCACCCCTCCCCCTTCCTCCCTGGCTTCACATTAGGCACCAAGAAAGGGCCTGGCACCATGTGAAGCACTGCGTGTGTCAGAGTGACAAAGACCAGGTCTCTGCCTCCGGAGGTCTCAGCCAGCCTTGGGGGCCGAAACTTCAGCTGAGGGTCAGGAGTCACAGCGAGGACACCCACAGTGCTGTGTAAGCAGAGCAGATGGGCACCCAAGCCGGTGCACACGTGCATGCGTGTGCGTGCGTGTGTGTGGCTGGGAGGCTTCCTGGAGAAGGCAATGCCCATGCTGAGTCTCAGGCAAGCATCAGCCAAGAAGGAGCATTTTGAGAAGGGCAGCAGGAGGCAAGACCCCGGAGCGAGCAGCTGGAACACAGACAAGGGGGCCGCTGGCTGGTACGATAGGACAGCTGGGGCGTGGCAGGTCTTGGGGTCACCTCCCGGGCCTTCTCCTGTGGTCACCGGAGTACAGGGGGTGACACCATCAGTCTCAGAGTCAAGTCTTCTCTCCTGGCCCCCAGGGTTAGAGAGGGAAGAAGGCGAGCAGGAGGGGTTAAGCTTTAAGAAGAGTGGAGGGGTCAGAGCTGAGGCGTAGCAGGTTAACGCTCTGGCCTGAAGTGCTGGCGTCCTCTATGGGCACTGATTCTAGTCCCGGCTGCTCCTCTTCTGATCCAGCTCTCTGCTATGGCCTGGGAAATCAGTAGAAGATGGCCCAAGTCCTTGGGCCCCTGCACCCACATGGGAGACCTGGAAGAAGCTCCTGGCTTTGGATTGGCACAGCTCCGGTTGTTGTGGCCAATTGGGGAGTGAACCATCAGATGGAAGACCTCTCTCTCTTGCTCTGCCTCTTCTCTCTCTGTGTAACTCTGACTTTCAACTAAAGAAATCTTTAAAAACAAAAAAGTGGAGCCCCATCTCTTCCAATGACTTCCTCACCCAATGTCCATGCCCTGGACCGTCTTTCCTCGAGCCTCAAGAAATTAGAGAGAGGCCAGACCAAGACCCAAGGAGGGCCCCGAGGAAAAGTAAGGAAGCAAAGAAAACCAAGTCCAGCACGGAGGGCCAGCCAGCCCAGGGCAGAAGAGGGGGCTGTGCCACGGGTTCAGAGAGGCGAGAAAGGCGCAGTGAGTGCACGTGCCACCTGCTGGTGTCCAGGCTGGGAAGCCCAGGGATGGCTGGCACCGAGAAGGGAGGTGCAATGGTAGGATGATCTGTTCTGCAGACTCTGTCCCAGAGGCCCAAACACTAGGCCTCAACAAACAAGCACAAGGCTCTCGCTTGGAGCCCGTGGAGCCAGGCCCTGGGGGAAGCCTGGTTTTCCTTTGTGTGATCTACAGAGACCATATCCAGCCTTGGAGCGAGAACATCCCTAAACACAAACTCCTGGAGGGTGGAAGTGTGCCGTGGGCTGCAGGGAAGGGGGTGGCAGCAGAGGACAAGAAGGGCCTTGGTGTGGACCTGCCAGCAGGGTTGGGGTAGGGGCTAAGGTCCCCATTGGAGCCTTGTCCCCCTGTGCCATCCCTCACTCAGCTGCACACCTGCTCATCTTTCTGTGGTGCCAGTCACGCTGGTGGCATCTCTGAGCAGAAGCCACCAGGCCTGTGTCCCTCCTGTCAAGGGTCCCCACCCAAAGAGGAACATATGGAAAAACCAGCAGCCCCTTGGCTTCCTTCCACATATTTCCATTCCAAGGAATAAGGCTCAGGTCAATATCCTGAGTTTTGAAAACTCCTGAGGGTGGATGGTCCTGTTTAAATCCATAAACCCAGAGCAGAGCAACGGGTTAAGCCGCTGCGTGCAATGCCAGCATCCCATATGGGAACGCTGGCTCCGGTCCCTGCTGCTCCGTTTCTGATCCAGCTCCCTGCTACTGTACCTAGGAAGGAAGCAGGGATGGCAGAAGTACCTGGGCCACTACCACCCACATGGGAGACCTGGATGGAGTTCCAAGCTCCCGACTTCAGCTTGGCCAGCCTAGGCCGTTGCGGTCATCTGGGGAGTGAACCAGCAGATGGAAGCTCTCTCTCTCTCTCTCCTTCCCTGTCACCCTGCCTTTCAAATAAATAGATCTTTTAAAAAGTAAAACCCCTAAGCCCAAGCAGGAAGGCTGTGAGAGACTCACACTGCCATAAGAGACCCTGTGGGCCCCCTCCGCCTGCTGGCCACCAAGTCGGGGGCTGGTTCTGGACCAGGTGAGCCGGGACCTCTTCCGAGTGGGAAGGGTTCTCTCCAGGTGCACCCAGTACCCATGGAGGTTCTAAGAAGATCCCTGGCTGGTGTGGGGAGAGGTCCTTGTTCCAGGGCTCCAAAGCCTGGTTCCCCCAAGTGCAGCCGCCCCTTCACTGTCTTTGTGGATAGCAGGTCTGGGCTTTGCCCGTTTCTGGGCAGAGAGAGGGCCAGGACCTCGTCTGGTCAGAGAGTGGTGGCCGGAACCCCACTTTTCAGTCTCTCCTTGGCCTGGCGTTCAAGGCCTCCAATGACATTTTCAATCTAATCAGTGTACAAGGGTCCTGTGCCCCAGGCAGACTGATCTCTCTGTGGCCCTGGGCCATGGCCAGCCCTTTCTGAGCAGTCCGCCTATGCTGGTATGGTTCCTCTTGACCAGAAGGTTCTACTCTTCCCTTCTCCCACTCTCCATACTCCGTCCATCCACCCTGACCCAGTGTGACCTTGACCTCTTCCTCCAGAAAGCCTTCCCTGGCCCCAGAGCCGGCAGTCCCTACTCCAAGTAGCCCAGATGCCGAGAACTCAGTGCCCAGTGTCTCCTCTTAATTATACCTTGGTCGGGAACCACTCCTGGGGTAGGGTCAGCATTCACTGGCCTCCCCAAAGTCTGCCCTAGGGTGAGTACTGAGTTCTAGAATTGAGAATGCACCAGGCCAGTGGAAGGAGAGAGAAAGAGAAAGAGAAAGTTGGGGATAAGAGGGGCATCTGGCCCTGAACCCCAAGAAGGCTGGAGGATACGGACTCCTTTGATGCACACATAGTTAAATGTGAAGCCACTGGTCACAGTCCAGGCTGCTAGGGTGAGCACTGGGGAGGGCCTGAGCTGGCCCCTAAGGTTGGATCAAGTTAGTTTTGAGTCCGAAGGCTCTAATTCCCTAGGAAATTCAATTTAGAACCATGCACAGGAATGTGACGCCCTAGCACTGAGCAGAAACCTGCCTGTGGGTTAGGGAGCCGACCTCTTGGGGTGCTCAGAGCTGGGTGAGGAGGACGCCCCTGGGGGAGCCGAGGGTGTGGGGTCTGGCCACCTGCCCCAACCAGAGCTGCCCCGAGTTCCCCTGTGCCCTATCTGCATCTTGGGTGACAGAGGGAGGGAGCCAGCTTGTCCCTGTCCTGCCAGCAGGGCTCCTGGCTGCAGCGCCGCGGCCTTGCTGTCTGTCAGCGCTCAGGAGCGTGGGGCACTCTGGCCTGGGACGCAGGCGTCTGTGGGGTTTTGGCTGGGTCTCTTGCGGTTTCGGCTTCCTGGGCAGCAGGCTCATTCTCCCAAGGCGGCGGCACAGCATGGCCTCCAGTTATGAAAGCCGCATTGTATGGCCCAGCCCAGGCTGGGGAAGGGGCTTGCGGGGGCACTGGGGGAACTCAGGTTTCAGCTCAGGGCTCAACCTTCCCAGCGTCCCACCCTGGCCCCTGGCACTTGGCCGGAGCAGGTTTCACACACACACACACACACGCGTGCGCGCACACACACACACTACTGCTGCTGCTGGTGAAGAGAATGGGAGAGAGGAAGAAGGCGATTTGGAAGGAGGTAGCACAGAAAATGGGAAAAAGAAAGCAGGCGAAAGTGGGGGAGGGGAGGGAGGCAGGAGCTGGGGGAGAGAGGACTGGAGAGAGTCCAGCAGCCACCTGGGAGGCTCAGAGTAAAAGCTCTCCAGCCCCTGGCCCAGCTCTCTCTCCTGGCTGAAGGAGTCGGGATCTTGGCAGATCAGATTCCCCAGAGGTGCTTGCTCGAGGTCCCACAGGGAGAAGAGACATGAAGGGTTCTCCAGACAGGCTGCAGACACTCTGTCTCCCCCGTGGGCTGGCTGCTGGCCCTCACTCTGGTTTAGCACCCCCGTCAGCTATACGGGGGAGCTAACTGGGGCCTCTCCCCACAGGTGCGCCAGCCTCTGTGGACACACGTGCAGCCGGAGGCCAGCCAGGGCAGGGGACCTGTCCAAGACAGGTAGGGTCAGCAGGGCCAGGAGCAGACCTGCTGTTTTCTGAGAAGCGAGAGGAGAGACGGGAGAGTCCTGGGCTGGGTGGAAGGCAGGCAAAGAAGTGGAGTAACCTCCAGGAGGGATTCCAGTCGTGGAATGTGCACGGGGCCACTTCTCCCCACCCTGCCTCCACCGTGTGCCCCAGCCGGGGCCTCTCTGTAGAGGGCCCAGCCCCTACCCCAGGCCCCTCCGGGTGTGGCAAACCTTTCCTGGGAGGACCCCGCCCAACCTTGCAAGGCGGGGGCAGGAGACACTTGGGTGGTGTGTGTGTGTGTGTGTGTGTGTGTGTGTGCAGGCTCTTAGCCTGCAGGGTAGGGGCCCCGGGACTGCGGGCCAGGAGGGCAGGAAGGCGAGAAAGATGAGCAGGCAAGGGCAGGAGGGCTGGTGCTGAGGCGGCTCAAGGCAGACAAAAGTTTTCGGGAAGCGCTGGGCCCTGGTTGGGCAGGGGGAAGGGACGGAGAGACTCAGACACCCCCACCCCCGCCTGCGGCCCCCGTAAATATTTACACACTGGGCAGAAACGGCTGGGACGCAGATCCCAGACGGACAGACGGACTCGCGGTGTGTGTGTGTCTGGAGCTGGGGGTGGGGGAGTTGGACCGACTTGGCGCAGCCGCCGCCTCGTTCTGGCCCTGCCCCCTCACCCCAGCCTTCCCCTGGCAGTGGACCCGGATCCCGGGACCCAGACTTCTCGCCCCCACCCCTACCCAAGCTCCCCAGAGCAATGCCCCCACAGCTCAAGGCGGAAGGGGGAGACCTCCTAACCATCCGTCCCCAGCCCCCACTCCTCCGCCCCCGCCCAGCTTCGCGCCCCATTCCCGGTCCTACCTGGGTCAGGGGCTGCGCTGGGGGCTCCATGGGGCGCGTCGCAGAGAGAGAGGCGCCGGTCGCTCACCTGGGACATCGGCCCGGAACCTGCGGGAAACAGGGCTCAGCGGGCAAGGCCGACCTTCCCCGCGCGAACGGGGCAAAGCGGGACTAGATAGGGCGATCCCTCCGCACGCGCGCCTCCCCCAGTCCCGCGCGGCCACCGATTCGACCCACTCGTGGCCGCTGCGCGCTACTTGATCGCCCGGCCCGGATCAGCGCGCGCCTCCTGCCATGCGCGCCTGGAGCGGGCGCCCCAGCCGAGGGGCCACTGGGCTCCGCGGTGCTCGTCCGGCGCCCCCTCCCCTCTCACTCGCTCCTCTCTCCCATTTCCGCGCCAGCTCGTGCGGCTCTCCCCCTTCCTCCTCCCTTCTCTCCCTCCAGCCCCTCGCTCCACCCCTGCTCGCCGCTCCCCTCCCCCGGTCCCTGGCCCACCCTCTCCCCGCCCCCTCCTAGCCTTCCCAGCGCCCCTCCCCTCCCCCGCGCGGGGCTCGGCTCTGCCCGGGCCGGACACGTCCGTCCGCGGGGCGCCCGCGGCCTGAGCCCCCACAGGAAGCTGGCTCGGCGCGTTTCCTCCGCGCTCTCCCAGCGGGGGCCCAGTCGCCCCAGACCCTAATCTCCCGAGACCCAGAACTCCGCAGGCTGCACAGAGGAGAGAGCCGTTTTCATTCCGTCCTAAACTCCGTAAAAGTTTGAGCAAAGTTAGGAGAGAGAAAGAGAGCGAGCGCGAGGGAACACTACCGCACGCCTCGGCATAATTGCAGCCCCCGAGCCGGGCCCCAGAGCTGGGGGCGATCAAGTTTCTCAGGCGCCCTTGGTCCGCCCCCCACCCCCACCCCCACCCCCGGCCCGCCCAGGTTCTCAGCCGGGGGCCGGGGCTCGGGGCTCGGGGCTCACGGACTGGCGTCCTGCCGGTCCGCGGCTGTCCTTCGGGGCATCCGCGTGGTGACGACACAGCCTCCCCTGCCCTGGAGCAGCCCCGAGCACCCTCCCCTCCGCCCCGTCCCTACCAGCCGTGCGTGGGAATTTGTGTCAGAAAAACCAACTTTTGGAGGCGAAGAGTCCGCTCGGAACTCAGCGCTTCTTGGGGCTGCGGGCTGGAGCCGAGGCCTTCCAGGACCGGCGCTCGTGCAGGCAGGGGAGGGAGGGCGCACATCTGGAATTGTGAGCTGCGGGCAGGCGGGAGCTGCCAGGCAGCGTGAGGGGCGTCCGGGGACCCTTTGCGTGACCCCGAGGCCCAGCCCCCGGGGTGGGGGAGGGCATGGAGCCGGGGCCCGGCAGGCGGGGCTGAGCTGTCCGTGGGGTGATCCTCAGGTGGGGCGGCCCGCCCGCCTCACAGCGTCCCAGCCACACCTGGCCTGGCCGCCCAGGAGCCGCGTCTGGACTCCCCACAGGAGGGCCAGTGAGCAATTAAGGAGGCGGCGGCGGCGCCAGGCCTTCTCTCCGGCTCCCGCGTTCCAGCCCCGGCAGGAAGCGGGAAGCCGGCGCTCCGGTGCGGGGCGCGGGCTTCTCCTGGATCTCCCCTTCCTCTCCTTCCCCTCCCAGCCCCGCCAAGTCCTTGCGGTTGCTACTTACGGCGCTCGCGGGTCCTCGGGGCGCCGTCGGGGCCAAGACCGGCGCGGCCCCCACGGCGCCGGCAGCGCTGTCGCCACCTCGGCCACGTCCCCGCGATGGGCCCGGGTGGCCACGGCCGGGAGCGAGGTGGGGCGGGCCGGGAGGAGGGGGTTCCGCCCCCTCCCCCCCAGGAACCTGGCTGGGCGCCGCGGGAGCCGGCCGGGATCTGGCTGCCGTCTGGGAGCTCGGGAGAGCGGGGCGTACTCCCCCTTCTTGGCACGGGCTGAGTCACCGGGACGCGCCCGCGCCGGCGCTTGGCGGTTGCTGCATTCTTACCGGCTTACCTGGGCCTGCGGGCCGGGCCTCACCCGCCTCCAGGGGCAGCTGTCCTTTCTGGAGGGCCCCTTCGCCAGCCCCAGACCTCAGCGCTGCCCCTCTGCCCTTGGTTTCCCTAAACTCTGGAACCAGCCCAGCCCTGGAGCCTCACTGTGGTTACAGTTCCAAGTCGCCTGCTGGATCTCAAATGCGCTCTGAATGTGGCAGGCGCTGATGTGCGCTTTGTCGCAAAAGTAAAGCCTGCTTTCCCTTGGGTCCCACAGGCTCCCTGCACAGGGGTGTTCCTGTGTGCCTGGGACTCAGCACGCTGAAGGTGCATGCGCTTTGTGTATGGAAAGTATACTTGAGGTTTAAAATCTCAATATGCATTAAGATTGACACTCCAGGATAGAACACTGCAGGGTGATGGACCCTAGCATGGGACCCCAGTTGAGATGCCAACACCGCCCTCTGCCATGGTATCTTTAGGGATAAGCATTGGGGATCTGCACTATAACCCAAGACCTTTGTCACCAGCTCTGTAAGTAAGTGAGACACTCACCTGGGCTGCAAGATTAGGGAGTGCCAAGAGAAGTCTCATTGAAAATGATTTATTTATGTGTATTTATTTGACACACACACACACACAGAGAACTCTCATCTACTGGTTCACTCCCCAAATACCTGCAACAGCTAAATCCAAGCTGGGAGCTGAGAACTCCCCCAGGGTCTCCCACATAGGGCAACAGGGACCCAACCATTGAGCCCTCACCTGCTGCCTCCCAGGGTGCACATTAGCAGGAAGCTAGAGTCAGGAGCAGAGCCAGGACTGAAATACCAAGCATTCTGACATGGAATGTGGGTGTTCCAACCAGTGTCTTAACCACCAGGTCCAACTCCCAGCGCCGTAAATCATATTTTAAGGCGGTGTTTTTACAAACCAACCGGGCAAACTATGGCTCCGTGGGTCAGCTGCCCGAGTCTGTGGAGTTTTATTGGAGCCAGCGCCGAGCTGGCTAGTGAAGCTAAGAGACACGATGATGCAAATCCAACGTTGTCTCCTGTCTGTCTTTAAAATGTTGGCATTTGGTTCCTTGTGAACTTTTGTGCGTTGATTTTGATTTTTAGATAGAAAAAATACTATTTATGCTAATTACTTAGTGTTTCTTAAGTGCTGCACCTGAGACAGGTGTCTCACTGCAGGACTCACCTGCTTCATCCTGGTCTCTGCCCTGACATGGTTTCTGCCTGAGGGTCCTGGCCAGGACACCTCCCTGGGAAGTGAGCAGAGACCAGAGACGCTCCATTCTCAACAGACAACACACAGGAAGCCCGGATGGGCCCTGAATCCACGCCCATGCCCCGCCTCACTGAGGCCGCTGCTGACCAGCTCAGCCTCAAAGGAGCCGCCTTTGCCCCCCTCCCTCCCGCCTATTTGTAAATTGCCAGGAGCTCTCTGACCTCAGGGCCTTTGCAGTCACTCTCCCCTCTGCTCAGAGATATTCACAGGCCCCTTCCTCATTCCCTCTGCTTGCATCACCTTCCGAGAGCCCACCCTCCCTGCCACCCCACCCCTGTGTGAGCCTTCACAGACCATGTCACCTCTGACCTGCTGCTCACTCACTGGTTAGAAGAAAGAACCCGCAAGCGCCTTGTCCACCAGTGTATTTGCTGGCACTGGGTCTGCCTCGCGGAGCTCAGGAAGCAGAGCCCAGAGAGTGGCGAGGGTTGGCAGGGCTAAGGCAGCGGCAGAAGCAGGTTCTCACGAAACCTTGGAAGTCCAGACTCTCCATCCAGTGCTCCCTCCAGGTTCCTCCCTCCTCCCCACCCCATACCCTGCAGGCAGGCGGCAACGGTGCCAGTAAGCTGTTGCATGGGCCCTGGGCACCCCCTCCCAAGGTAGAGCAGGCCCGTGCACAGGCCTCCCGACACAGCCCCTTCTGGACAGTGGAGTCACAGGGCCTGGCGCAGCCCCAGCCGCTGGCACCCACCACCCCTCGGCGGCCAGTAACAGGCACAGTTCTTCCCCCATTTCCTGCCTCTGGCACAGGGCAGGGCCGGTTGGGTTCTGCAGCTGGACCCCAGCTGTGGTCTCAGTGCCCTGGGGGATGGGGGACAGGACAGTCCCAGAAGAGGGTGTGTTTCTGTGTGTAGGGGGGCGCTGCTGGTTTGGGGCTGAGAATCCATACCTCTTTCTTCTAACTGCCCCCCTCCTCCACACCGCCGGCCTTACACACATAGGCACTGAGCAGGGATCAGGGCTCCTACTGCCCCCTTCCTGAAGGAAAAGGCCTGCAGTGGGGTGAGGGGAGCCCTGGGCCCCAGGCCTCATTCCATCCGCCCCCTGTTCCTGGTGGTGGTCCGCACATACGTCGAGCATGTTCTAGCCACCAAGCTCCACTTGACACTTACAGATTTGTCGCTTCCTTCAATGCACACAGGAGTCTAGATGGTTATGACACTCCCATTTTACAGATGAGGAAACTGAGGCACAGAGCGGTATGGTGAAGCAGCTTGCCAGCCAGCCGCAGGTGAAGCTGGGATTTGCATGGCACGTTCTGAGACCAAGTGCAGACTCGTTCCCATCCCAGGTGAGGCCTGCAGCACATGGGGAGAGCTGTGACACCCTCCTTGGTGTGCCCACGTTGGCTGCTGTAGATGGAGACGCAGCCCTCTGCATCCCTCTGCATCCCTCCTCCATCTGATTGCCACTGGGGCACCCGGAACGTGACAGGGCATGGTAGGGAGGGTGGGGCTTGCTTTGTATCCTGGCTCAGTCACCCTTACCTTGTTGTGTGATTTTTGGCACATCTCTAGACCTCTCTGAGCCCCGAGTTCTCCCAGCTAAGCCTAGGGACACTCTAGTTCCCCCTCTCCACTGCGGGGTAGATGATGGGAGCACCTGCACAGGGTCCTTAGCTCTCTGTGAACGGAAACTCTTGCCTAGCACTTGTCTCCTGGTCACACAGCTTCACACCTTCTCCATTGTACCAAGCTATGCTTGCCAACCCTCACCAGCGCTGCCTATGCAACGGGCACAGCTTACGGCACTTCACGGCAACTAGGGCCACAAGCCGACTCAACCACTGCAATGTTAAGTAGCAATTCACATTCGGCACCACCACTGCCCCACTTCACAGGTGCAGGCACTGAAGCATAGACAGGTGGCGCCCCATGTGCTCCCGGTCAGCACTGTCTTCTGTGGGGCTGCGGGGCACAAGGTTCTCGCTGATCCTCCACTCCCACACTAGCTCTTGTCCTTCATCCCAGCGCCCAGTTAAATGATCCTTGAGGTGGCAATTATGTATAATTTGATCATGCAAGGGTCCCCGAATCTTTTTTATAACAAGCAATTCGTGGGCAGGCATTTGGTGCCGTGATGGTTAAGTCACCATTGGGATGCCCACACCCTGTAGCAGAGTGCCTGTTTGAGTCTCTGCGCTGCTTCCCATGCAGCTTCCTGCCAGTGCACACCCTGGAAGGCAGTGGGTGACTGCCTCGAGTGGCTGGTCCCAGCTGCTCTACTTCTCATCCAGCTTCGTGATAATGTACCTGGGGAGGCAGCAGAGGATGGTCCAGATGCTTGGGCCACTGCCGCCCACAGGGGAGACCTGGATCAGGCTCCCTGCTCCTGCCTTTGGCCTGACCCCAGCCCTGGCTGTTGTAGGTATTGGGGAGGGAACCAACTGATGTTAAGACCTCTTTGTCTCTCTATCGCATTCTCTCTCTGCCCCTCTGCATCTCAAATAGTTACATATAAAAAAAAAGCAATTAAACTTTATTTAGTTATTATTCATGAGTTTGTTGAAGTTTTCTGGGCTGTGCCAGCATTTGAGTTTTTTTTTTTAAAGACTCTTTAAAAAAAGAAAAAAAGATTTGTTTATTTTATTTGAAAGGTAGAGTGATGGGGCCGGCACTGTGGCATAGCTGGTAAAGCCGGCATCTCATATGGGAGCTGGTTCAAGTCCTGGCTGATCTACTTCCAATCCAGCTCCCTGCTGTGGCCTGGGAAAGTAGGAGAAGATGGCCTAAGTCCTTGGGCCTCTGCACCTGCGTGGGACACCTGGAAGAAGCTCCTGGCTCCTGGCTTTGGATCAGCTCAACTCTGGCAGTTGCAGCCATCTGGGGAGTGAACCAGTGGATGGAAGATCTCTCTCTCTCTCTCTGCTTCTGCCTCTCTCTCTCTCTCTCTGTAATTCTGCCTTTTAAGTAAATAAATAAATAAATCTTTTTTTTTTTAAAGTAGAGTGACACAGAGAGAGAGAGAAAGAGAGAGAGAGAGATCTTCCATCCACTGGTTCACTCCGCACATGGCTGCATCAGGGAGGCTGGGCACTCTGGTAAGGGATGCTGGAATCGAAAGTGGCAGCGTAACCTCCCACGTTACAGTGCCAGCCCCACAGACACTACTTTAGAGCAGCTTTAGGTTAAAAGCAAAACTGAGTGGAAACTGCTCCCCTCCCCTCCCCAGCCTCCCTACCTCGACACCTCCCATGGGAGAGTACGTCTGCTACAATCAGTGAACCTACGCTGGCACATCTTTGTCACCCAAAGTCCATAGTTACATCAGGGCTTACTCTTTGTTTAAAAAAAATTATCATCATTTGAGAAGCAGAGAGAGAGAGAGAGAGAGAGAGAGAGTGCAATGGAGACAGGGAGAGAGCGCGCCCATCTATTGGTTCACCCCCCAAAGGCCTTCCATGGCCAGCGATGGGTTGGAACCAGGGTCAGGAGCCAGGAAAGCAGTCCAGGTCTCCCACGTGGGTGGAAGAGACCCCGTTACTTGAGTCATCACCTCTGTCTCCCAGGGTCTGCACTGGGGGAAGCTGGACGCCGACACTCTGCTGTGGGACATGGGCGTTGTGACTGCTGGGCCAAATGCCCACCCTCTAGGGCTCACCATGGTGCTGTGCACTCTGTGGCCTCTGCCAGACAGATGATCACAT